TCTGGGAGGTACCCAAAAAGTCGACTTTTTGGGTACCTGCTTTGGTGATGATGGGTTGGGTCATCGCGATTCAGCAGATGTCGGGGCGCTGAGGTGACTTTTTGGGTACGTGCATGCTTTGGTGATGATGGGTTGGGTCATCGGGAGAAACCGATCGATTCAACACAAGTCCGGGCGCCGAGTCGACTGTTGGGGCGCTGCTTTGGTGGTAATGGGTTGGGTCGCCGGGAGAAACCGATCTTTTCAGCACAAGTCCGGGCGCCGACACTTGTGGCACTTGATTGTATCCGAGACCATGGGCAGCGCCCTGCGGGCAAGAGCTGACGTCCGATGGTAAATCGGTGCAAGAGATCAGGTATAGTAAACCTGGGAGGTACCAAAAAAGTCGACTTTTTGGGTACCTGCTGTGGTGGTGATGGGTTTGAATTTTTAGGCAATGATATCCTGTGGGGAGAAGGGTTCAGCATCACCGGGCTCATGCAAGCGATGACGTCCGATGGTAAATCTGGGAGGTACCCAAAACGTCGACTTTTCGGGTACCTGCTTTGGTGGTGATGGGTTAGGTCACCGGGAGAAACCGATCGATTCAGCACAAGTCCCGGCGCCGAGTCGACTTTTTGGGTACCTGCTTTGGTGGCAATGGGTTGGGTCGCCGGAAGAAACCGATCGATTCAGCCCAAGTCCGGGCGCCGATACTTGTGGCACTTGAATGTACCCTAGACCGATGGTAAATCTGGGAGGTACCCCAAAAGTCGACTTTTTGGGTACCTGCTTTGGTGGTGATGGGTTGGGTCACCGGGAGAAACCGATCGATTCAGCACAAGTCCGGGCGCCAATACTTGTGGCACTTGAATGTATCCTAGACCATCGGCAGCGCCCTGCGGCCCCACAGGCCGCAGAACCCAACGCGTCACGGGGCTTGTGCAAGAGCTGACGTCCGATTAGAACCCACCTTTGCAGTTTGGCCTGCGAGGGGTCCTCGGCGATAGAGTGTGCCTGGACAGCAGGATTTCGACGTCCGATGGTAAATCTGGGAGGTACTCAAAAAGTCGAGGTTGGGTCATCGCGAGAAACGGATCGATTCAGCACAAGTCCGGGCGCTGAGTTGACTTTTTGGGTACGTGCTTTGGTGATGATGGGTTGGGTCATCGGGAGAAACCAATCGATTCAACACAAGTCCGGGCGCCGAGTTGACTGTTGGGGCGCTGCTTTGGTGGTAATGGGTTGGGTCGCCGGGAGAAACCGATCTTTTCAGCACAAGTCCGGGCGCCGACACTTGTGGCGCTTGATTGTATCCGAGACCATGGGCAGCGCCCTGCGGGCAAGAGCTGACGTCCGATGGTAAATCGGGAGGTACCCAAAAAGTGGACTTTTTGGGTACCTGCTTTGGTGGTGCTGGGTTGGGTCATTTATGGGGACGAGGGTTCAGCATTACGGGGTTCATGCAAGAGACCACGTCCGATGGTAAACCTAGGAGGTACCCAAAAAGTCGACTTTTTGGGTATCTGCTTTGGTGGTGAAGGGTTGGGTCTAAATTCTTGGGCAATGATATCCTTTATGGGGAGGAGGGCTCCGCAGCACGGGGTTCATGCAAGAGATGACGTCCGATGGTCAATCTGGGACAAAAAACCCGCGGTCCACCCGCGCACGGTCTTTTTTCTCGCAGGCGTTGTCTTTGGCGACTGCGTCGCGCGAGACGACGTGGTCCGGGGGGCGTCCAGGAGCAGCTACGCACGGATGGCATACGTTGGGCAGTGTGGCAGCGTAGCTGCCAGCGCGGCTGCGGATATTTTCTCAGGCCGCGGCTTCAAGGAATCACAGAGAAAAATTTCTTCCCCAACCATTATATAGGCCACCCAGTGCGTATTCTGCCAATTTTGGATGCATCCAATGCAGTTCTCCAAGCTTGCAGGGGTGTTGATGGGGTTGTCAATATCCAAAGTGTATCCGGCACTGAATAGGGCCGTGTACAGCACCTGGACGCTGTACCATCCAGTGTCAGAAATGCGCTCGCCTCGGTCCTCGTCGATTCCTTCCAGGGCGCGCAAATACGCGTCTGCGGCTGCTTGCATGGATTCCGTGGTGAATCGTGCTTCCTGCAGGGCATTGTTGAGGGCTGTCAGTCCACATTCACTCCCCGTCTGTTGTTGAAAGAAGGGAAGCTCTGCTGCACGCCTGTTTGAGGCCATTTGGGTTGATGAAGCTTCCGCCTGCATGGGGGTTGGTGCTTCAACTCGCGGGCACTGGGCAGTGCGCGAGCGTTTCGCGGCGTCCCCGTCCGTGCGCAAGTTCTCCGCCAGACTTCGCTTGGCGCGGCCGTGCGTCGACGGGGCACGGCACGTGTCGCATAGCCTTCTGGTCGCTCTCTTCCATGCATCTTGGGACAGCGAGGCGAAGTGGCTCGTCGGTTTGCTTTGGCCGCACTTGGCGCAAGTGTAGCACCGCTCCTCTGCGTTGCACTCGTCACAGACCCTCCTGGCAGCTCGTCTGAGCGTGTCTATCGCTAGGTTGGAAAAGGCTGCTTTGCGTTTGTGCTCCTCGCAGTGGGTGCAGCGAAAGAGCGGCTCTTTGGCATGGCATTCGTCACACATCCTCTTCTTTGTATGACTGAATGTCTTGGCCGAGAGCCTGGAGAAGGCCGCTCTGCTCTTTTCCTCCTCACACTGGGTGCAACGAAAGACCGGCTCTTTGGCATGGCATGCGTCACACACCCTCCTCTCTGCACGACTGAATGTCTTGGCTGAGAGCCCGGAGAAGGCTGCTTTGCTCTTTTCCTCTCCACACTGGGTGCAACGAAAGAGCGGCTCTTTGGCATGGCATTCGTCACACACCCTCCTCGCTGTGTGACTGAATGTCTTGGCTGAGTGCCTGGCCCCGCAGCTCCTGGACGACAAAGCGCCCCAGGATTCCGACAGCAGCGAATGCCTCCGCCTGGGGGCGGGTCCGCCCCTAGCCCACTCCTGCAGCGGCCATGGGCAGCGCCCTAGACACTGCCACCTCCTCCACATTCCAGGCGACGATCCCGCTCCACTGCCAGCGTCCTGCTCCAGCGCGTCCTCAGCCCCACTTGCCGCTGCTGGCGGCTCATATATCCCATCGCCCGAGCTGATGTATATTTCATGGAGGCCACTCTCGCGGCTGAATTGTAGCAGATCTGAACACAGTGCAGCATCGTCTCCTCGGCCGCATCCTCCCAATCCGTGCTGCCTGTTGCGATCGCCTTCTGCACCAGACTGTGTCTAGTCCAGATATCAGCCCCCGTGCCGCGAAACATTTTCGCTCTATGAGCCACCTCCTCCGGCCCCTGCAGCAACCTCAGCGCCGCCTGCCTCCTGCAAGTCACGCCGTGGTCATCAATCACGACCCACTGCTGTCCCGCACACATCTCAGCCTTGTTCTCCTTCACAGCCACCACTTCGGCCCTCAGGCAAGTCTGCCGCACAGTCCCCTTCCCTCCGGCCATGAAACTAATGGGCAGCGCCCTGTCGCTCCACCCGCTTCGGATCTCCCTCGAATCCACTCTTCCAGCTCCGGTGTACCCGATCCTCTGTTGCCGCGCCTGTGCGACAGACCAATGCCCCTCACGCTGCCCTTGCCTCTTCCTGTCTACCTTGCCACCAAGCTCCGAGAACACATAGATTGCCCCGCAAGAGCTCCTATTCCGCCCCGGCTGCAGCGCCGAGCCCTTCTGGCGAGACACGATGCTCCACAAAGCTTTGTCACAAAACATGCCCGTGGTGGTCACGAGCAACACCATCGTGGCCCTTGAATTGTACCCTATACCATGGGCAGCGCCCTGCGCCACCGCATCCACACTCCTCCAGGCCGGATCCACGGAGTCCTCATGGTCCAGTCCCTTCCCGCGAGCTGCCCCTGGACCATCAGCAGCCATCGCAACCACACTTCTCCAGCCAAAAGTGCTGCCGGTAACTCCCAACTCACGCTCCGCCCGCGCTAGACCCGATCATCGCACCCCGGCGCTCGCATCCCCTAGCTTCACTCCATACTCCACTACACATCCCTTGCGCGCCTCGTCCAGCTCCGGCAGCCGTCGGCTTCCGCCAGCCTGCCAACGCACTGCGCGCCGGCGTTGTCCGCCCACGACCACTACACCGAGCAGTTTTCCGTGGCCTGCATAAGGGGACATACATGGGCAACGCCCTCGCTGGCTGAAGCGACCTAGCGAACACCATGGGCACCCTTCCTTCCCCCCCCCCCCGGCCTACCGCACTGCAGACATTCCGCCACGCGCGCGTGCCACCCGCATGTACATGGCTACGGTCTCTTCCCTCGCTGGCGCGAGAACCTCGCCACCACCTGCCCAAGCTTCCGTTTGCGCTGCTCCGTCCTAGAACCAACACGCCACATGCCGCGGACACGGGCGCCTGACAAGCATGCGAAAATCTTCCCAGGGCACGTTACCACGGGCACTGGCTGGACCTCGTCCAGCGCAAATTCTACACAAAGCCTAGCCCCTTCCTGGGAAAATTCCTGAGCATTGGCCGGGATTAAAAATAAGTTTGTCAATTTTTAGAGCAGATCAGGGCTAAGGCTAACATAGAGCAAGGCTAGCGCTAAGGTTCTATCCCTTGGGGGTCGGCGGCTGCAGGCGGTAGCCTGGTAAATATCTTTCAACGCTTGCTACAGCACTCCGCTGCTCGGCACGATCCAAATTCTACATCCCAGCTGCCATGTGGAAAAGAGAAAAAGCTCGCCACAAAAGCAACCAACAACAAGATCACCATGGTCATCACCAGTCTGTAGCGCTTGGTAATGCTTCGAGGAGTGGTCTCACCTGCCATCAACACGCGACTCTACGCCATATGCTCACCTAAAACTACCTAAAGCTCCCCCCCTCTAGGTCTCTGAGGTTGGAGGCCATCGCTCTTCGGTTGGAGGCCATCGCTTCTAGGTTGGAGGCCCACTAGCTAAAGCTACCTAACTAAAGCTACCCAACGCAACACATCCCTTTTTTCTGGGCCCGTGCCTTTGGTCTGCAGCTGAAGATATCCGTAAGGATCTGGACTTGGAATGCCATCAATCTTCACCAGTGTCAGATCTAGCCGCCCATTGTCAGCCAAATGACTGACAGAACCATCATTTCCTTCGAGTGTCATTCCTGAAACGATGGTGATCCTCAGAATTGATTTTTCCCATGCAATGAAAGACAGTGCAAGTTCTTCGCAATTCTTCAGAAGGTGTTCAGATCCATTTGAACTTTGGTTTTCAGGCTGCTCTAAGACATGCCAAGACTCAGTTTAAAGGTGTAGGGGCTCATCCCCAGTTCTTGAGCGATGATAACCTTCACGTCAGAAGCTTTGCTGTTTAGCGGGACATCCACCTGCACAGCGCCCCGGAAGGATCTGGGAAAGCGACGTTGAAGAGTTGGCTTGTTTCTAATAGGAAAGACAAAAGAAATAAAAACCACAAAGTGCTTCTGAAAGTGAAAAGCCCTAGCAGACTGACAGTCACTGACATCCACTTACTAAATCTTGCTAAATCTTGCATGAACCTATCCCATCCAAAAAGAACACCCGACCATTGCTCGCCTGGCACAACTCATCTCCAGCCAAATTCGCCACCACCGCACTGAGCACCATGGCGCAAGGAGAAGGAGACCAAGTGCGAAGCGGCCAAACGCCGAGCGAATCCGTTCGACCCAACGATCCAACAACGCTCGGAGTGAACGAAACCAAGTGAACGACCAAGGCAGTAACAGGTGCCACGCTACTAGTAACAGGTGCCTTACTAGTAGTAACAAGAAGCTACGACCCAACAAATCAACGATTCTTGTGAGTTCTGGGATCGAAGCGACGTTTAATCCGATTCAATGTGCCTTGAGCAGCTGCAATATTCGTTCGTTCCTCAGAAAGTCCTCATAAAAACGAAGAACAAAGGCGCTAGGCCCCGCTAGGCAGGCAGAGTGGCTTATTTTCGTTCATTCCTTCTTTCGAAGCTCGACACGATGCTAGTAGGAAAAACTGCCACGCTTCTAGTAACAAGTGCCTTATTAGTAGTAACAAGAAGCTATTAGTTAATTTAATTCTTCGTGCACTTCACTTCAATCAGAGACGTCGAGACAACTGGCAGACGTCTTGGGACATCTTGGGACCCGCGCCTGCTTGCGGATACGCTCTGGGTCATCTTTAATTTTGTTCAGTTCGGAATCGTAGACCTCCAGGACGTAGACAGGCACAACTGGCATTCTAACTGGCATAGGACCGGCCAGCCTTGCAAATGTCCCGGTTGTTCTCCATCTCTTGCTCAACCTCCAACGCTTGCTCTCATCAATTCGGACCAAATCCGTCAGACCAAGTGATGTTCTGCAAGTGATCTCCCTTCTCAAAAGAATCCGCCTCCTTGATGCGAGCATTGTACTCCTCCAGCTTTTCCTGATAGCTTTCCTTCTTGGCTTTCAGGACTTCTGACTCCTAACTCCGAACTCCGAACCTTCACACCGAAGACGCTATGCTCGGTGGAGGCCATCGCTGTAAAAGAAGCTACTAGCAAGGATGCTACTAGGGGCTCCTGGCCGTTCTACTAGGAGCATCCTTACTACTAGGAACAAGAAGCTACTAGGAACAAGTGCATCGCTACTAGTAACAAGTGCCTTACTACTTGGAACAAGAAGCTACTAGCTAAGTGCCAAGATTTGCTCCTCCCTCGGAGGTCCCACCTCGCCTTGTTCAGCAACTCAATCTCCTCTCTGGCTTTGCGGAGCTTGGGCTCAGCCTTGCTAGAAGAAAGGCAAAGAAGATATGTTTTTCCGTTCCTACTAGCAAATTGGCCTCCAACCAAATAGCAACTTGGCCTCCAACCTAATAGCAATGGCCTCCCACCTAGTACCGATGCCCTCCACCCTAATAGCGATGGTCTTCACCCTAAAGCGATGGACCGGCCTCCGCCCCAATAGCGATGGCCATGGTCTCCACCCTAATAGCGATGGCCCCCGCCCTAACAGCGATGGTCTCCAACCTAGCAATGGCCTCCCACCTAATAGCAATGGCCTCCAACCTAGAAGATCCGTTTTCCGTTCCTGGGATTCTTCTTGAGACTTTCACACGTTGGCAACCGATGAAGGAACGCTACTGCCATTCCGGAGGACAGAAAGCACACCAACTTCCTGTCGAAACATAAAACCAAACACTCTTGTTATGCCATATCATGTCATAGTTCCTATCACTTTCTGAACACGGATGCAGTGGAAATTTTGGATCGCCTCTGCTTGGCGCTCGATCTCTCTTTCTCTCAACTGCTCCTGTCAAAATGACACCAGGGAACAGACTCAAAGCATCAGTCTTTCTTCAATGTGAATAGTTAGTAGCAGTGCTCAGTACTCTCCATTGCTCTCCTGCTTCTCAGTTCTATCGTGATGCAGCTCTGACAGCTGTATCCTCATGAAAATGCCAACAGGCAATAATCGATCATGCGCTGTCACGAACTTGGCTCATGATTGTTCACGAGGCTGCATTTGACCAAGCCTTTCTTCGTTTCACAACCATCCAAAGCAGGGGTTCATTGGTTGAACGTCCAGAAAACTGCCAAACCATGGTTGGCAAACCGAGCATCTGCAACATCATCTCTCTATCCTGTGCCACCTGCGCAAGCATCAAAGATCTAGTGCAAAATGAGTTCTAACAAGTTAAAGTGCAAACGCGCCTGGTATTCTTGTTCGATTTCGAACCTTTGATGCATCAGCTGCTCAATGCAGTTCTGGTCCTGTGACAAAGTGGTTGGTCAGAACTGTCAGCTGTCAAGATGTGAATTTGAAGAGTACCTACTTATTTGTTTTCAATGAAGTGGCGCCCGCCAGAGTTTATCTAGGTCCTATCTAGGCTCTTCGTCTGTACAACGCCAAGTTCTTAGTCTGGCCGTCTTCTTTACAAAAAAAAGCTCTGCAGAGCCCTGAGGTGTCCATCCCGCCACTGTGCGGGGCGAATTCTGGGAAAAAATCACACGTGGCTCTCCGACTCGTCGTCAGAGGCTGCGGCCACTGACGAATCATCGTGAGAATCCGAGACGGACACGTTGTCGGAGTTCTCCCTCCATCTCTTCTGGACCTTCTTGATCAAAGATCTCGGGCGGGCAAGGTGATCATGCAACCACAAGAGGATGTAGATCACGATTGGCATTGGAAACAACAGAATATGGCTCTTTGTGCTCATCAGGGCTAAACTGCCTATGCAAGCCCCGCCCACTGTTCCACCAATGACCATGATGCTCATCGTGAACTTCTTCCACGTGTCCTGAGTGATCTTCTCTCCATAAAGGCGTCGAGCCACAATCTGGGTGACGTTCAAGATATGCCCTGTGACCATGGTCGTGTGTGTGCCCATCCGGCCAGTGCTACAGGCAGCAGAGACCACTCCGAATAGGGGCGACACAAAAACCACCGTCCATCGTAGGACCTGTTCATGGTACTGCCAGTCCGTGATGAGATACAGGACCTCTGAGATCATCATCAATCCCACCAGCGGCACAGCTGCTATACTACCACCCCTGTTGGGCCAAGCTAGCTCGCACAGGCGTTGCATGAACGAACCAATCATGAAAGTCAAACACACGGCCACATAGAACCAACCCGTATGCTTGTCATCCGCTTGAGGCGTGACAGAGACACGGCCCAGATAGATCACGTTCCCAGTCAAGATGCTGGAAAAGGCCTGATAGCGAACTAAACTCACCACATCAGCGTAGCCCGCCACGAAGGCCAGCAGCGTTGCAATGCCCGCATGCTTTTGAAAGCGCCACTCTTCGCTCGACACCATTGCTCTTTGGCACGCACAGAATGAGTGCTGATAGGTCTGCGAATGTGCGGTTGATAGGGTCTTGAGAATTCAGGCGCTAAAAAGAAATGATAGGTATGTGAGTAAGGATGTCCACTGCAAGTGGAACCTAACAGCTGCGAATAAGAACAGGCTCGGGCAAAGAATGTCAACGTCAAGACCTACATCTAGTATCATCTAGTCTGCCGCACTATGCTTTCCCGTATGGCCTCTTGTGACTCCAGCGTGGTCTTTTCCAGCTTGATCTTTTCCTGCCTTAGCTCATTGCGGTCTGCAGTGACTTCCAATGCTTCAATCGCTGGGTTGGAGGCCATCGCCATTAGGAACAAGAAGCTACTAGTAACAAGGGCATTACTAGTAGCAAGAAGCTACTAGGTTGGAGGCCATTGCTATTAAATATTAGTGACTTCAGCAGTGCTTGTACACTCTCTGGACGAGTTCGCTTCGACTGCCCAGGTGCATCAAGCGCTGGTTGAGCTGTTTCGCTCTCGTCACAAAGTTCTGCTCGTTCTCGAACCTCGCAAATTTTTAAAAAGACTTGAAAGAAAAACAAACAAATCTGAAAAACTTAGAACACGCGGTCTGACCGCCCGATCCGGGCTCCATGTGTCGGCAAACTCTAGAGCACATCTGTGGCTGAGTCATGCTGCAAGCCGTTTCGGACCCAACACCAAACTTGACGCTACTAGGAGCAAGGACGCTGCTAGGGGCTCCTGGCATCGCTACTAGGAGCAAGGACGCTACTAAGGGCTCCTGGCATCGCTACTAGGAGCAAGGACGCTACGAATGGGGCTCCTGGCATCGCTACTAGGAGCAAGGACGCCGCTACTAGGGGCTCCTGGCATCGCTACTAGGAGCAAGGACGCTACTAAGGGCTCCTGGCATCGCTACTAGGAGCAAGGACGCTACGAACGGGGCTCCTGGCATCGCTACTAGGAGCAAGGACGCTACTAGGGGCTCCTGGCATCGCTACTAGGAGCAAGGACGCTACTAAGGGCTCCTGGCATCGCTACTAGGAGCAAGGACGCTACTAGGGGCTCCTGGCATCGCTGGCATCGCCACTAGGAGCAAGGACGTTACTAGGGGCTCCTGGCATCGCTACTAGGAGCAAGGACGTACCTACAGCAAAGGCAGTAGGATCTAGGAAAACTTTGGTAGGAATGGTTTGATGTTTTTCGGATTGCGGATGCGGAGAGAGGCGAGGCTTCATAGTCAGGAGCGCCGTAATGACCTTATGATGGCAAGTGTCGATACGGTATCTTCCTCTAACCTTAACATGCAATTGAGCAGTGTCCAAAAAAAAGGCTGGGAACTAGGAAGCGGTCAAGAGGCGATTCTTGTTGTTGCCCATAGCTATATGTTGGGAATGTAAGATCAACATCAGTGGACCCAAGTTGACCAAGAAAGTCTTCCCAGGCTTGCGGATGGTGTTGGTCACAGCGATTGAAGTCACCACCAATAAAGACTGGGCGCTCATCGAGAGTAAGTATAGCTTGAAAGACCTGATCAACAAAGTTCCGTGAGCTTTGAGGAGGCAAGTATACTAGGGGCTCCTGGCATCGCTACTAGTTGCAAGGTTCGCTACGAGGGGCTCCTGGCATCGCTACTAGGAGCAAGGACGCTACGAACGGGGCTCCTGGCATCGCTACTAGGAGCAAGGTTCGCTACTAGGGGCTCCTGGCATCGCTACTAGGAGCAAGGACGCTACGAACGGCTCCTGGCATCGCTACTAGGAGCAAGGACGCTACGAACGGGGCTCCTGGCATCGCTACTAGGCACAAGGTTCGCTACTAGGGGCTCCTGGCATCGCTACTAGGAGCAAGGACGTACTAGGGGCTCCTGGCATCGCTACTAGGAGCAAGGACGTTACTAGGGGCTCCTGGCATCGCTACTAGGAGCAAGGACGTTACTAGGGGCTCCTGGCATCGCTACTAGGAGCAAGGACGTTACTAGGGGCTCCTGGCATCGCTACTAGGAGCAAGGACGTTACTAGGGGCTCCTGGCATCGCTACTAGGAGCAAGGACGCTACGAACGGGGCTCCTGGCATCGCTACTAGGAGCAAGGACGCTACGAACGGGGTTCCTGGCATCGCTACTAGGAACAAGGTTCGCTACTAGGGGCTCCTGGCATCGCTACTAGGAGCAAGGACGTTACTAGGGGCTCCTGGCATCGCTACTAGTTGCAAGGTTCGCTACTAGGGGCTCCTGGCATCGCTACTAGGAGCAAGGACGCTACGAACGGGGCTCCTGGCATCGCTACTAGGAGCAAGGACGCGACGAACGGGGCTCCTGGCCATACTACTAGGAGCAAGGACGCTACTAGGGGCTCCTGGCATCGCTACTAGGAACAAGGTTCGCTACTAGGGGCTCCTGGCATCGCTACTAGGAGCAAGGACGCTACGAACGGGGCTCCACTAGGAGCAAGGTTCGCTACTAAGGGCTCCTGGCATCGCTACTAGGAGCAAGGACGCTACGAACGGGGCTCCTGGCCTTACTACGAACGGAGCAAGGACGCTACTAGGAAAGAAAACAAAAAGGGGTAAGGGTAAGGACCCTGGAATAGGGCTCCCCCAGATTGAACAAGTGTTTCGTGCAACAAACATGGCGGCCGTGCGTTTGAATCACCATCTCATGCAGTTTCGCATACTTGCTTTTGTACAAATCCATCTCAGCCTGAGCAAGTATATCTCCAGCTCTCAGCAGCTGATTTGAAAGCCACGACCCGATTGACAACCTGCCTTGCTGATGGAACTATTCCTGTCGCGATCTTTTGACAACGCGAGTCATGAGATCATGCTGGAGCAACCCTTAGGACCAAACAAAGGGATGAAAGCGTTCATGTGAATGACTCAAATGTCTTTCTTCATTTTCTTCATAGACCGGAGACCAACAGAGGGAAGAAAAATGAAGAACAACTTTCCAATTGATGTTCCAATTATTTCTTCATGTTTTGTTATGTTTTCTTTAGGCTCTAGACCTGGAGACCTTCCCCAATGTTGTTTTAGATGTCTCTCATTCTCTCCCAAAGAGTGCCTGTAGAGCTCCTCCAGGATGTTGTAGGCGGCACTCCGCTCCAGGTCCTGGTGGATGGTTCGTGGTTTCATTGATACCTTTGCTATCCAGTAACCACTACGTAGATTGGAGGCCATCGCTCTTAGGCTGGAGGCCATCGCTCTTCTTTCCAGTAACCACTAGATACATATACAGTACAAAGTGGCCGAGGAGTAGCCTGACAACAAATGTGGAATCTGGACATGATTCCAGCAAGCCCAGATATAATGTACTGTAATCAAAGGACCAGGAAAAACTATATGCTTCTGTCAATTCATTCCTAGCGCTTCAATTGCTCCTTGATCTCTTCACTGAGCTCAGCCATGGCGTGCTTGCAAAGTGAAAATGAGTTCCTTCGTCGTCTGAATCCCTCCCAAAGTACTGTGAAAAGGACTCCATGTGTCATCAAGTCAACACTTGCTGCATTCAACTCGGACCAATGTCCCAATACTCAGAATAGGTAGGCTGACAGTCCCAATGGGTTCAGTCCCAATGGGCGCAGTCTTAGGGCCAAACAGTCCATCTGGACCAAGGAGCTACTACTAACAAGGGCAGGGCATCGCTACTAGTAACAAGGGCATTACTACTAGTAACAAGAAGCTACTGGGAACAAGTGCATCGCTACTAGGAACAAGTGCCTTACTAGTAGTAACAAGAAGCTACTAGTAGGCCATCACTACTAGGTTGTATATCCATTTGTTGGACCGAGTCAAACGTATTTGGGACGTCCGAGGTTCCGAGTGCTGGCCGTGTGAAACGTCTGGGCCGGATTTCTGGCCCACGTGGCTGCGGGTTCCCAGCATTTGGTCAGAAGTGAAGCCCTTCTGGAAGCCCGTCTGTAAGAGCATCAGAAGCCATGGAAAGAAGGAAAGAGGTGTGGTCTGATGCTTTTCAGGAACAAATGAACAAAAAAGACACAGAGGCACCACATGGAACCACGTGATAATGTCGTGCCTGTCTCAGACTCGGGGCTCAGTCCTCACAAAACGTCAAATCTAAAATGGCCTCCAACCTAGTAGCTTCTTGCTACTAGTGGCAATGCCCTTCTTACTAGTGGCGATGCCCTTGTTACTAGTGGCTTCTTGTTTCATTCGTAGCGATGGCCTCTAACCTAAGAGCGATGGCCTCCAACCTACTAGCAACTCGCTGCCCTCACTGCACTTACTCTTCCAAACCTTGCTGGATGCACCACATGTTGGCTTGGGGCACAGCACGCCTCAGGGAGTGTGACTGATTTCATCACGACGAAGGAGTTGAATAAAAGGTGCGAAAGCGCCGATGATGGCACACTCCTATCTGTTCGTATTCACTGTCAAGTTGATGACTATCGCCGATCGCTCTTAGGTTGGAGGCCATCACTACTAGGTTGGAGGCCATTGCTATTAGGTCCCTTTTGCTGTTAGGTTGGAGCTCAAAAGCCTGCTCTGCATCGAGCTTCCACCCTGGGACTTTTTCGTCCGAGAAATTCTGCTGGCCATGAGCTGCAGCTCCTTATACAGCTGGCCTTCCAGCGCAGAGAAATTAGCAGGATTTGAAGAGTTTAGGTCCATGGAGCTTCTTATCTCCACGCGATTTCTAGACATTTCTAGACCTTTTTTAGTCAGCCTATGCAGTTTGCAGCTGATCCTTCCACACCATCATATCAGCTTCACGTTCCAAGGCATCCGGATACCTTCGCATTTTCGTATGACCCATAGCGATGTCCATGGTCTTCTTCAGGCGAACAAAGACATTCTCCTGGATGTAGGGCACTCCGTGTCTCTCGCAGATCTGTTTGAGTTGGGGCTGTCCTTTCTGATAGGCAAGCATAGACAAATCCGGCCAACAATGATGCTCGATCTGGTAGTTTAGCCATCCATGCATGAAGTCATTGAGATCTCCTCCAGTCCGAAAGTTCACGGATGAGGTGATGGCACGGAGGTAGAAGGTCGGAGACTTGGGTTTGCATGAGCGTTGAAAGCGATACAAGTCGTTGCCAGCATGATTAGTGACCACAACAATGAAGCCATGGATATTGGACAGCACATCTGCCAGGAGAAGATTGCATACACCATGCCAATAGAAGACGGGACTGAAGATCAGGAGCGGCAAGGGGAGTACAAAGAAGTGGAAGAAGAAGTAGGGCCCCATGACTTTGCTGAAGAGTTCCCACTTGGAGACCACTCCTTTCCCTTTCCCCGCAGCCAAATCACCCAAAGTCAAGGCCGCTTGGGGGTCAAAACCGTTCGGCAAGGGGATCTTCTTGTTCCGCATCTCGGTGATCTTCAGCTCTTTGTAGGTATTTGGTGCATAGTAGGCCCACTTCCATAGGAGCATGGACATGAAGGGCAACACATAGCGCTCGGTCTGACTCCAGTTCGCCGAATTCCTCTCCAACAAATCAGGATCTCCATCTTCAGAGAGTCGATAGTGGTGAAGATTGTTGTGCTCAACACTCCAAGCCTCTGGCAGCATCCAATCAAACCAGTCCTGGAGTCGCCTCCAAAGAGAGCCAAGTGCAAAGCCACGACTGCTGTAGCGCCCGGTGGCATCCGTACGGTTGTATCCACCGTGGCAAGCATGATGCCCCATCATCGTCCATGCACTATGAGTCCACAAGCTCAAGAAAATCATGGAGATGGGATTGGGAGCCATCCACATGGTCCCCAAGCCAATGAAGGCACACAATCGACTCCAGGAGACGATCTTGTGAAGATGCTTCACATCTCGTTGATCCTGCTCGGCTTTCAACTTCTCTCCTAACTCGTGAACTTCCTTCCCGAAGGCTTCCAAGTCCAACTGCTCAATCCAACGATCCTCTGGTTTCAAGGAGTCCGAGACCTCTCCTCCACGTCCCCTCAGTGCACGCAATTAGGTTGGAGGCCATCGCTATTAGGTTGGAGGCCATCGCTCTTAGGTTGGAGGCCATCGCTCTTAGGTTGGAGGCCATGGCTTTCAGAAACAAAGAATCAAAACTTGCAACAAAGGAAGACAGGTCTAATATGGACGCAAGTGCCTTACAGGTGCAGATCTCCTGCGCGCCATCCGCCTCTTTCGCGCCATCAAAGCCATCAACGTGGGGGCCGCCACGCTTGCGGCTGCCAATCGTCCTCGTCCTCCACCCGTTGACCAGTCATTGGATGGGCTCGTGACCTCCTCACCAACCACCTGAGACCCAAGCGGACTCAGCAAATGACCTGTGCCATGAGTGGGAGGTGCTAGAGGCCCCAGAAATGCTGCCATCCTCAGATTTGATGGTGTTCTTTTGAGCCAAGGCCCTCGTCGTCATTGCAGTGAACTGCTGCACGTGAGACATATTTCAGTTTCAAGACTCAGACGAGATGCTTCCAATGTCTGAACCCCCAACCAGCCTGGGTGGTTCAATTCCACCAGCATCATCTTCAGGCACTGGATTCGATGCCTGGCTTTCGACCGAATCTCAACATGTCTTGTAGAAATCAGATAAACTTGTCAGAAAGATCAGGCACGCTTCGTTCCAAACCATGCAATATAGCCCAGGGCCTCTGCCGCCTCTTCTCCGCCTCACACGTGCAAGACGAGAATGGATCCAAAGACCCAAAAAAGACAGGAAGACAGGAATACCGAAGAAAACGAAAAACCTGAAGAAAGCTCTATTGCGCTGGCTGATGGATTTGGGCAATGCAAGTGGCAATGCCCAAAGATTGAAGACTCTCAACTTGTTCCTCCGTGACAGAACTGGAGGAAAACCCGCCTGTTGGTTCAGCCCTCATGGGCAAAAGGCTGTGCTGACAGGCCGGTCCTGTCAAAGCGTAGCGAAATCAGCCGATAGAGTTACATGTTTCTATGTACTCTTCAAACTTCCACCTTGGACCTTGGATCAAGGAAAACAAAAGGCAGGAATGACAAACAAATGAAAACCATGCGTTTCTGCTCCATGTTTCTCTCAAAAAAACAGAATTTAAACGAAGGAAAAACACGATGTAAACACATCGGACACATCGCTCTCGCTCTCCTCGTGGATCGAAGTACAATGCTCCACCGGTGGGATCCGAAAAGGCCAAGTGCTTGGGAGGATGCACCAGTTGCTGCGCCAGGCGCCTCGGACGCGTCACCGGTGCGTCACGCGCGAGGAAGGTCCTTGAATTGTGGTTCTTTAGAGCTTTTGACATGCTCCGCCTGGCTTCATTGTAAAGGCGGCGTTGCGACGGCATCCTGGCATCCTGGCAGGCAACGTGGTCATCAATCAGTAAGCGTGCTATACTTAGATGTGCTCAGTAAAGAAAAAATTAAAAGGAAAGGTCTAAAGCAAGAAAAGCAGAAACAGGACCAGGACAGAAAAGATCTAGAATGGAAAAGAAAGACTTAAGATACACTTCTTCGTGCTTCTGTTAACAATCGGTATTTCAAGGCCGACATCCAAGGGATTAGACCCTCTTCCCACATGCCTCTGATGTGAGCTGGAACTGCTCTGGCAAGCCTCACGTCGGCCAGGCACCAAATGCGAACAACGACGCTTTTCCAGACTGGCGCCGCAGCTGGCGCCAGCAGCTTCACGTTCGACATCGTTCGACAGTTCTTGTAGCCGCCTGACTGGCCCTTTTCTTGTTCGCATGGGCCGCTGCCAAAAAACTAGCCATCTACAACACCTTGTGAAAGGAAAGGGATTGAAGTCCCTGTTGCAATCTCACAAGGGGTTCAACGGTTTTACTTGCATAGAGCACATGCTCCCCACGAATTGATGCATCTGGGAGACAACTGCACACAGCTGAGTGCACTGAATTTATCATAACTCCGACCTGAGCGAGAGAGGAAGGGAGAAGGAGCACGCAAGAGAGTTGGGCACAGCTTCCAAACGATGAGTCAAAGGGAGTTGGGTGCTGATATAGGAAGACTCAGATCATTCCAGTCAAGCAGAAGCAGAGCCAGTACTTTACTAGTAGCGATGCACTTGTTACTAGTGGCTTCTTGTTACTACTAGTAAGGCACTTGTTACTAGTAGCGATGCACTTGTTACTACTAGCTTCTTCAAGTCTGAGCATTTTTTGGCGACGTTACAGGGTGGGACCGGCCGTACCAGCGGCTGAGTCCTCTGCAGCCCATTCTCACTCGTCGCCTCGTCGCCCCCTCCATACCAAATATCCACTTCAGGTCGCCTCGTCGCCTGCAGCTTGGACTTTGCTACACCCGCTTCATGCTTTCTTTCTGTGTCCTTCTCTGGCTTTTTTGACCTTTCCATCCGTTCTTCCTTCATCTCTTTTCAGAACCTAGCAGGCCTAACACGAACGCTGCAGGATCGGGTCGTTTCCAGTGGCACTTCGGATGGTCTTAAGTCTTGGCCACTCGAGTCCAAACTTATCCTCTTTACATTTAAATGTTGCATTTAGTGTATAGCGATTTGTGATGTATCTTCCTTCAGAATCTATTCATTCCGATTCCCTCTTGCTCTTCTCTTTTTCTTGTTTCCTTTTCTGTTTTATATAGACCTTTGTAGTCCATTGCCAATGCAAGGTAAACCACTACGTACTCCTGGATGTTTGATCGTTCTTTTCTTTCTTTGACGTGAAGGTGTAGTTTGGAAGGCTGTGCCTGGCCACCTTGCGCCCGGATCTGGAGTTCATTCACCTGCACAGCGCAACAAACACACGTTGGAATTCCTGAATTCCTAGTGTCTCACTACCTGGGTCGCAGCTGGCTTGAGTCTGCAGTGGAGAACAAAACGAGGTGACCAACACCAATGGCATGCCCCTTCCCAAGACAAGCTGCAGGTCAGTCAAGCCAAGCAACATTGGCCACAGTCACCTTCTCATGCTCGGGATCCTTCGAGAGCCCTGCTTTGAACCTTGGAACATGTGAAATGCAATGGACGCTACTAGTAACAAGTGCATCGCTTCTAGTAACAAGTGCCTTACTAGTAGTAACAAGAAGCTACGAACGGAGCAAAGGGCATCGCTACTAGGAGCAAGGACGCTACGAACGGGGCTCCTGACCGGACCTGTCACACCGAAGCGGTCCTCAACTCTCTCTCTCTCTCTCTCTACGAACGCGTGGGATCCTTCTGTTTTTGGGCGCCCCGACAACGCCAGAGCTTTATCCAAAGCTTCATCCGCACCTTCCAGGTCTCCCAGATCCTGAGTTTGGCAACGAAAAGCTCAGCAAGATACATTAAGGACCATCCAGGTATCTGTGCCAAAGAACAAATTGGATTCGGAGAGCTTGGAGGTTGGAGGCCATCGCAATTAAGTTGGAGGCCATCACTAGCCGCTAGTAGTAACTGAAAATCAGAGTTTCAGACTCTTTTGAACAGCACCGAGCACACTCGCACTTGTTTTCACGTGGAACCAACCGGTGCAACAGGCTCTGCAGCCTTGCGCATCCTGTGATGTACAACTGAGAAACAGCGGCACGAGCTCAAAGCTCTACTTTACCAAGGGAGGCCACCAGCCGAAGGTCTCCCCACTCGTCAACACCAAGTAAGCCAAATAAACACTCACCAGGATTGGGCCATAGGCGTAGGATAATTTGCAGAAGGGTGGCATGAGCACAAAGGCAATGACCAAGACCAAGGTCCCACACATCCAGACCACGCCCTCATTGATACCTGCCACATTCTGGTTGATCGGCTTGCCATCATGTTGAAGTTGATAGATGACCCAAGGCAAGGCCATCGCCTCGGGTAGACGGGTTCTCTGTGCAAACCCGAATTCGGCACGGGTCTTTATAGCTCCAGCGACCCAAAGAAAAACAAATAGCAAACATTGTCACTAGTAGCAATGCCAGGAGCCCCTAGTAGTCCTTCTTGCTCGTAGTAGTACCGCCAGGAGGCCCTAGTAGCGTCCTTGCTCCTAGTAGCGATGTCTGCCCTCTAGCACAAAAACAATTGTGAAAAGCGCTTCGTTAAGGGTTTGGCATATTGTGGGTGCCCTCCCTTACATGCGCAAGATGTTGCACTCCATTACTTGCGCGACAAAGCCCACCAGGCCACCACTTTGAATATCCGGCCAGGGGTCCATCATGGGCCCGGCACTGGCCGTGTTCTCCCGAAGGGTTCTCTCCCCTCCGTAGGAGAGAGGGGCTCCACCCTGTGCTTTACAGAGCTTTGTGAGCGTGGAAGATCAAAAGTTTTTGTGGTGGCAAGGTGCAAAAGTTGTGGGCTTTACCAGGATGGTGCGAGTTATGCGCACCGCGCGGAGTTGCATATTCGGAACCTTTTGTGTGATGGGCCCGTGTCAACATAAATTGCGCAAAAGTACTCCAAGATGACCCAAAAGAGGCCCCCAAGATGACCCAACATAGGCCCAAGATGGGCCAACCTAGCCCCAAAATGACCCAACATAGGCCCAAGATGGGCCAACATAGGTCTAAGATGGCCCAATATGGGTCCAAGATGGGCTCAACATGGGCCCAAGATGGCCCAACATAGGCCCCAGCTAGGCCAACATGGGCCCAAGCTGGCCCAACATAGGCCCCAGCTAGGCCAACATGGGCCCAGATGGGCCGCCAACAACAACAACAACAACATGCAGCCCCGTTGTTGCTTGGTTGGGCCCCCCCTCAAAAGATGTTGTTGTCTCTCCCCCTAGAAACAAAATCTGCAGCCCCATTGTTGTTGTTGACCCCCCCCCCTCCAGAACAACACCGCGAAAAACATCAAAAAACAAGAAACAGACCAACCAAGACTTGAGTACCACAACGACAAGAAGTCCAGCTACTAGCATCTCTCCAAACCTTCGGCCCTATCCCTAACAGTGTCCCTTTGAAATCCCTGACTTGCAAGATGTGACAACTATGTTGGGCAGCTGTTGTTGTCTCTACCAACAACAACAACAACAACAACAACAACAACAACAACAACAACCACAACCACAACCACAGCAACCACAGCAACCAAAACCACAACCACAACCACCACAACCACAACAACCACAACCACCACAACCACAACAACCGCAACAACCACAACCACCACAACCACCACAACCACCACAACCACCACGACCACCACAACCACCACGACCACCACGGCCACGACAATGACAACGACAACGACAACCACCGCAACCACGACCAGAACCACCGCAACAACAAGAACCATAACAACAACAACAACAACAACCATAATCCCTCTTTCCACTTTGTTTGCTCTTCCCCCTTCCCCTGTTGTGGGCCCCTGGCCGGCTGTCGGGCGTAAGCCCTTAAATTGCTAAACTTGGCAAGAATTTATGGACTTTCCGGATAATTGCTATCTAGCTACTCTGCACTTCATTTCTGATCTTGCAATTGACTGAGCCTGATCTCAGTCGGCACTTCCCATGAAGTATGGTTTGATAAGTTTGAAACCTCTACATGGAGATTGTGGTTGGTTTCCAGTTGTCACTTGTGAGTCTGTTCTAGTCTAGAACAGTTTTGGTATTAAGGCTTTGAACTTCAAGATGTTCACGCGATAGAGAAGTTCAATTACCATGTGTTTAGGCTTTTGCTGTTGACTCTGCAACATTAATGAAAAATGACAAACCCAAAACCAATGTGTCAAAAGACAGCCTCCACAGGCAGAATAAAGCACACCTTGTCGCAACCATGCACTCAACATGTGTGTCTTGCATTGATCTTGCTGATAAAGCAACTCTGTCAAGGCGTTTCCCACACATTCCATGCCAGGAGTTGTCCCAAGGCAGGAGTGTCAGCCATGAATGTCCCACAAGAGTGTACTGGAAGAGTGTCCAGTGTCAAGCAAGAATGCCCCACATGCGTGTCTAGCAATAGTGTTCCTCAATGCCTCGCCTCAATAGTGTCTTACAAGAGTGTCTCCGAGAGTGTCTTGCACGAGTACGAGTGTCGCATACAATAGGAGTTTTCTACAAAAGTGTTAAGCAAGAGTATCAGGCAAGAGTGCCCCCACCAAGAGTCCTAGGAGAGTGTCGCACAAGAGTGTCCTGCAAAGAAGTGTCAAGCAAGAGCGCCCCGCAAAAGTGTCCGACAAGAGTGTCACAGTTACACAGTCCATTGAAAATGTCTTGCATTCGGGTTCGCTGGTGTCCTTCTTGGCGACCTGTTTCTCGTTTCGAAACAGGACTCCTCAGTCCAGACGACATGTTTCATCTGGTTTAGTGTGCTAAGGTCATGGCTAAGAAAACGTTCTGCACATTGGAGCCGAGTGCATTGGCAATCGCTGCTGCAGGCTTGTTCTGCTGTGCCATGAGTACTGAAGCGACTGCATTGGGAAAGGAAGTGCCAATGGCACAAACGGTGATTCCAAGAAAGCTGTTGGGCAAAGCAGGGATGTTGTAATGGATCTGATTCGCAATCTCCAGCATGAAGAAGGAGAAAATGGCAAGCCAAAACATGGCCCCCGCAAAGCACAGCGGCCAGCGATTTTCCTTGGTGACATCTTTCACATCTACGGCGAACAAGGTGCCTCTCAGTAAAGAATCAATGAGGAACCTCAGCTGAGAAACTGCATCAACTGCACTTCAAGCATGACTGGCGTGCCTCCAACCTACTAGCGATGGCCTCCAACCGAATAGCGATCAAGGTTTTCGACAGAAGAATCATATACTTCTTGCTTCCAAGCCAAGAAGCTCAGGAACCACCAAAAGCCTTTGAATGAGTGGCATGTCTTTTGCAGTGATGGTGTGGCGCAAATGCTGCCATGCCCCAACGATGGTGGCATCATATCCATGAACCCAGGGCCGCCCCAGGGAGTATTCTTTGATGTTCTTCAGGAGCTGATCTCGTTGATCAGGATCTTCGACCGTGAGTCTCAAGGTAATGTGTTGCAAATTGTGGTAAAACTCCAAGTTGATCACGCCCATCTCCATCAAGACCACCTCTTGCAAGTCTTTGTACTTCAGAACAGCTCCCAACCTCAATCGACGCTTACCTTTCTGTCAATTCTCTCGCTCTTTCTCGGAAGTCCAGCAATGCAAGTCGAGCGGACTAGAAAAGAACGTGGTCCAAACAAAACGGTCTACGTGCGTGAAAGAGACATCCCACGTCTACGTACTCACAAAAACGGAGACAATGCTCACACCACTGAGGCTTCGGCATGGCATCCTTCACATCGAACTGGAACCCAATGGACTGTCGTGCATTGGACTTGCTCTCTGTAGCTTCCTTCCCCTCTTGTGGCTCAGCATAAATGCCATGAGCCGTCGGGTCGACGCTCCACTTCTCGGCATCTCCACCATGTGCATCGGCCATCCGCGCATGAAGGATCTCTTCCACTGAGACCTCGATGCCATGCATCTTCCCCTTCTTCTTGGGCGATCCACTGCCCTCCACTTCGCTGGCTCTCTCCGGTGGACGCAGCGCCGGGATGGCGTTGACCAGGTCGCCGGTGAAGTAGACGCAACAGACGTACAGCACGGCAGCTGCCAGCAAGACCCAAGCCTCATAAGACTCGATCGCACGATCCAGAAGCGCCCAGTAGAGCAACGCGATCGACAAGGCGTAGAAGAAGCAATCACGCGCGAAGGGAACCCTCTCCAAAGCCAAAGGAACGACTGGCGCAGCAGAGATGGTGAGGCCAACGATGATGAGAAGATTGAAGATTTCGGAGCCAACCACCACACCGATCCCAGCATCTGAGCCGGTGTAAAGTGAGATCAAGTTGGTGAACATCTCCGGCCCATTGCAGCCTAAGGCACAAATGGTTGCACCGGCAACAGCTTCATCACCCCAGCATTGAAGCCACTTGTTGCTGCTCTTCTTCATCTTCCCCACGAAGACATTGATAGCTGGAACGAAGTAGGCGTCACACACATGGTGCTGTGCAAAGAACATGAAGGCGATGACCAAGAACCAGAGGCATCCCACCGCAAAGGATGGCTCCATTGCAACAAGGATCGATCACAGTGAATCTACAGCCTTACTTTTCTACATACTTGAGAAAATCATATGTTGTGAGTTCTCAAAGCATCGGTCAATTCTTGGCTCCAAGGTTCCATTTGTGCCGCACCAAGGTTGTTCCAAATGATGGGATTCTCTGGATCTGTCGCCAGACCTCGGACGGGGGGAACGAGTTCCCGCGTGAACGGTGCACGACGAGGTGATGAGACGCACCTCGAGAGCGAGGAGCGAATCGACGAAGCAAGGGTCGGGCACATGTGGAGGCCATCGCTATTAGGTTCCTTTTGCCAGTAAGTTGGAGGCCATTCCTATTAGGTCTCGGGCACATGTGGAAGACTTGTGCCGCGCGCGCCACGTCCTGTGAGCGTCGGTCTATTTGGGGGGGATGGGAGGCCACCCAGGGGCCGGTGGGTAGCAGAGGTAGAAAATGGTAGAAGATAGAAGATAGGTAGGCAATGTATCTTTCTTACGGAACATTAGTGACACTATAGTGGCAAACATGTTCGCTAGCAGAGTCTGGTCGCAGAAGGAAAAGCGACCAAGTCTGAAAAAAATGGAAAAAGGGTCTCCTGGAGCTGCCAAAAGGCATAACCTATAGCATTCATCAGGTAGCTGGAGCATTGCAAAGTACCTGGACCACGTGTTTTTTGCAGACTTGAAACTGCTGAAACACTGAAACACAGGCATCGCTACTAGGAACAAAGGGCATCGCTACTAGGAGCAAGGACGATGCTAGTAGCTCCTGGCATGACTACTAGTAACATCTAGTAACAAGAAGCTACTAGCAAATTTATTGTTCTCATTTGTTATCTACTAGTAGCTTACGTAGCTTCTTGTTACTAGTAGCGATGGCCTCCAACCTAATACGTTAAGTTTCCTTAAAATCTAGGAACCAAATCCTTAGTGCGAGCGCTTCTTCAAGGGGAAAGAGAAAAGGAAACGATATCTTGAAAGACCGCATGACTTATTGTTTTTAATAGCTTCTTGTTACTAGTAGTAAGGCACCTGCTACTACTAGTAAGGCACTTGTTCCTAGTAGCTACTTATATGAATACTTCTTGGGTGCGTCGCTTTTTACAAGTTGATTCTCTCAACATCAGGTTCTTCTGGGGCACCGTTGAGGCATCCCAGCAGCAAAGTCATTGCTTCTTCAAAGCGTCGAGCACAAATCTGCCAGGGTGATGCTGTGTAGAGAACTGACGCTCTGTAGAGAACTGACAAATGGCAAACGACATGTGGATGATGAACGACATCAGCAGCTTCTCAGTGCTTGGCCAAAGCAAAGCCATGATCTGCCACCAAGGTAAAGTGTAGACCTTGCAAGGCTTCACCACTTCACACCCAAAAGGAAAAGGATGTTTCGCTCCACCAGTCAAAACCATCTCGCCATGAGCTGGCAGTATGTCACTTCGATTGTTGGATTGAGCATTCCATGAACTTGTGATGTTCTGTCCGTGCCTGATGGAGCGGTCAAATTTGCCTGACCAAGCATTAGCCATCAGCGCATGTCTAATATCACCATCCGTCTTAGGTTGGAGGCCGTCGCTATTGGGTTGGAGGCCATCGCTAGCAAAAACAAAGAAAAAAACGAAAATCAAGAATAGTTTGCTCTTCCTCGGACTCTCCCCACCTGCGGCTCGAGCTTCAAGAAGAGGGCTCGGCTGAGATTAAAGTAATGCGCCGCTCCATAACAGTCTGAGCGCTTGAGATTGTCTCGACCCACAAGGTGAAGCCTCTTCACCTGAGATCGCTTGGAAGATCTGCTTCCACCACATGAGTCACTTCCTAGTAGCGTCCTTGCTCCTAGTAGCGATGCCAGGAGCCCCTAGTAGCGTCCTTGCTCCTAGTAGCGATGCCAGGAGCCCCTAGTAGCGTCCGTGCTCCTAGTAGCGATGCCAGGAGCCCCTAGTAGCGTCCTTGCTCCT